TTTAGTCAGTATTCCATTTTGAATCTTGGCTGTTCAGAACAATTTTGGTTGAAGAAGAACCATCTCTGTTATATATTCAAATCTATAAGGGGCTTTAAAAATGTTTGAAAATTGCACAGGATATTAATATGTGATGTGTTGATACCCATTTAGAGAGATGTTGTGAAGTGCTGTCAAGTTGGTTCCAACCCACAGCAACCATGTATAGGGTTTCCAAGGAGCAGCTGGTGAACTTGAACTGTGGACCTTGCAACTCAAACAGCGTTGCAGTCTGGTGCATTAACCCACAGCGCACACCACAGCCCAAATGTCACCTCACTGGCAGATAGCCACCTTGGCACATGCGTCCCAGAGATGAAGCATTGGAGGGAAGCATTGTCTTAGACGGCGTTTGTGGTCAGGCAAGCTCTGTGCTGAGAAAACACTGCCATGTCTCTTGGACAGAGTGAAGTCTGCCTAACATCAGCCCGTGCAATCCCAGTTGTCATTTGGGCATTTAATCAGAAAGCCACATCCAACTAAAGAAAGCCAGAATAACCAAGAGTGATATTTTATCTCATAAATCACCCTACCAGTGACTTTACTCACTAAATCAAGACAATCTCTTTACAGCAAATGAATCACAAAAATCAGGCAGCTTGCAACAAAGGCCTTGACAAGGGCCTCCACAGATGAGAGGGTGGAGACGGGCTAGACTAGTAGATATGAGACTTGAGGCATGTTCTTAGAAAGGGAAAGGTTCACTGGGTCCACCCACTCATCTGTCAGAACTCAGTGTGTCCTGTGAAAAGTTGAATCTGTCCCTTCTGAGGCTACTGATCATTCAGATATTCAGGAAATGGGCCAGAACTGCCGTCAGAAAAGAGATCTTGCCCATCAGAAAACAACAAAAAACACAAGTGCTCTGCTTTGCATATGACATGTGTACATCCTCTAACCCTCAGACACCCCCAGCCTTGGTAACAGCTTTCTTGAACTAATTCACATATTATGCCCACTTAAAGTATACAATTCAGTGTTTTTTCATATATTCACAGAGCTGTGCAGCCATCTTCACAAGACATTTTCCAACACTTTCACTATTCTCAAAAGAAACCCCCTATTCTCTAGCACTTCCACCAACACTCTCCTTTCCCTGCCTTTCATATAGATTTTCCCATGGTGGTCTGTCATGTGAATGGAATAATATAATACGTGGTCATTTGCGACTGTCTTCTTAGCCTAACGTTTTCAAGGTTCTTCCATGTTGTAGCATGTATAGAGCACTTTATTCCTTTTTATGTTGGAATAATAATTCATTGTATGAAAATACCATATTCTATTTATCTACTCATCTGCAGATGGGTATGTGGGCTTTTTCCACCTTTTAGTTATTATGAATAATGAATGCTTTTGTAAACATTTGAATAATACTGCTATGAACATGCACACATTTGAACATTTATGGAAACATTTCATGTGGACATGTGAATTGAGTAGGAATTTGTGGTCTGAATCCTCTGACACGTTCACAAATGTGTGTATGAGGGGGTTTCAAAGATTCATGGAAAAATTTCATTTTTCAATGAACTTTTTGAAGTGCATTCACATATGTACTTTTCAAATGTGAAGTGTTCATCAGAAGAAAAACAGGTCCTGCCCAGCTAATGAGCTTCAGCTCCTCATTGGTCTTTGAGCCCTGTACACTATCTCCTGCTTTTATACGTGAATCTTCAAGCCAGGCACACCTGGGGCTCAGTTACCTATGTTCTACAGCCTACTTCTATACCTCATAAAAGTTACATAGCTCTCTGAATTTCCATTTGCTCTTCTGCAAAGTGGAGGCAATATAAGAACATCCTACCACACAAGCCTCTTTTGATGATTAGGAGATAAAGTTTTGAGTGGAACGCTCAGTTCAGTAGTTTTTGGGTGTAACATCTTTATGACTTGACCAAGGTGAACCTTCTTTGACCTCCAAAACCACCTGATGCTTCCATTTCTTCATGTTTGCTTCTACTACTCTCCCACCTGAAATTCCTTCCCTACAAAACTCTCTCTGATAAAACATCGTTCAGGACCATTTCAAGCTAAGTCACCCAGTCCTTCTTCTAATTCCTGAAACAGGTATTTTCTCCTTCTGCTTTGCATTACTTAAGATTGTCTCTTTTAGGCACTACACTGACACCACTTAGTACAATAATGGTTTGCGGTCAGGTCTTCTCATCTTCCTTGGCCTATACCCACAGCACACAACAGTGCCCCACAACAAAAATGAAACTGGACAATAACAAACAAGCTGGTCACCTGGGAACCATCAGGGCAAGTGGTCAGGTCCCCTCAGAGCAAACTCCCTTCCAAGATTAAGACTCACGGGAATACACAAGCAGGCATGTGGTCTAGGTGGTGAACACGCTGGTCACCAATAAGGGGAAGAGGGGGAAAAAACAGCAGTGGAGTTGGGAGCTAAGTCTGACCACATTCAATAGACTCCTGTGAACCCAGATGGAGACCTGGATGGCCAGCAGTATGGCAAGACCCGGGGACTCCTGGGCCCAGAGGCAGTGACATGGCCACAGAGGACTAGAGCAGAGAGTGAAGCATCCAGTTGATATGAAGTGAGGGGAGATGCACAAGAACACCCATACTTGTAGATGGTACCCACTTGACAGGGCTTCAATGGCTAGATGATTAGAACTTGACTAGAAGAAGAAAGAAAAGGAAAAAAAAAGAGTAACCTGCTACAATTTGATGAACTTTACCCTTTACCTATATATATGGATGTGTTGTTGTTAAGTGCCGTGGAGTTGGTTCCGACTCATAGTGACCCTGTACAGGGTTTCCAAGGCTGTAAATCTTTACGGGATCAGAGAGCCTCATCTTTCTCCTGCGGAACAGCTAGTAGTTTTGAACTGCTGACCTTGCGGTTCACAGCCCGATTCGTAACCACTTCTCTACCAGGATGTAGTAGCTCAAAAAAGGGAATAAACCTTTACAGTGAGGATTACTTCCACTCCCTCAGTACACAGGTTTGACAGGGATGGGCAACTTAGACATTGGTTACCCAAAATGGGGGGAGGGGGAACTATAAAGGCAAGAAGTGACTGGCTTACAAGCTTTCAAGAGGGAGCCTAGTTCCAGATGGGGCGGGGGAAGATAGAATCTCCACTGAATGGTTTCCAATCTGTTGGGACTGGGCTAATGAAAGGAGATGGGGATAAGACTCTTGTGGTACAATAGTGAGTAACTGCCATCAGGACTGACTGTGAGGGTCAGAAATGTAAAGGTAGATGTTTTTTAACAAAAGGAGGAGAGTAACTGATTTTGCAGTCCAGGAGGGGAAGTCCCTGGGACCATCAAGTGAGTAGCACGGAGAGCGGGACCCTACCCAGAGAAGCAGTGATGCCTGAGATGGAGACAGAGATGATGACATGGACAGATGGAGCCACTGGGAACACTGGACTCAGGGAGGGAGAGGGGCTGCGGACCTGTGTGGGGTGTTGTTGTTATTGTTGTTAAGTACTGTGGAGTTGGTTCTGACTCATAGTGACCCTGTGTAGGGTTTCCAACCCTTTGGTTATTTGATGATGCATGGAGGGGATTGTAATCATTGCAATGAAACGAAATATGGTAGGATGAATGTAAAACTGATGTTCTCCCATGGAAACCCACATAATTCACAATAAAAACTTAAAAAACAAAAACAAAATGGAACCGGAGGACTGACATTTCTCCCATCTGCTTTCCTCCCTGGTGGGGCTCAACAACACAGGCATGTGTGTCCCCACTCATTCATATGAAAACACTTAGAGAGCAGTCAGGGCTCTGGAGGGGTAAATAAGCTAGTCACCTTATCTGCCCCTCCACAAAGTTTACAACCCACAAGGTGGAACAGAGCTACCAGCCTAAATACAAAGAAGCATCGTGGTGCTAAGTAGCTAAGTCCTGTTGGGACACAAAGGGGTCAAAGGAAGGCACGGCCAGTTCTTTCCTGGGCTGAGGGTCTGTAGTTCGCTGCTGTGGAGTTGGGCCCCTACTCATGGCACAATGAAATGAAATGAAGCCTGATACTACGCCATCCCCATCATCAACCAGTCCGACTGCTGTGATCCAGTTTTTTGTACGTAGATCACCAGGTCTTTCTTTGTCCTGTCTCAGTCTGGAAACTTTGTTGATACTTGTTTAGCATCATGTTGTTGTTGTTAAATGCCAATGAGTCAGTTCCGACTCATAGTGACCCTGTATAATAATAGGGTTTCCAAGTAGTGGCTGGTGGGTCTGAACCTCTGACCTTTTGGTTAGCAGCCCAGTGCTTATCCTACAGTGCCACACCAGGACTCCACTAGATTTCATTTTTTTAGTTGGCAAAAATGATGGGAAGTCTGACCAAATGCAGGAGGAGAAAATAAAAGGGTAGAATCCTGACCTGGAGGGAGAAGTTGGGGAGAGGATTCAGAGCTTACACTTCCTCCCAGAGGCTATTGGGCAGGAAGTGAGGGTGGAGGCAGAGAGATAAATCTGACAGGAAGCTGAGGGAACAAAGGAGTTACACCTGATAACAGTCAAGTTACACCTGACAGATAAGTCCTCAGCTGAGGGGGTGGGGTAAAGAGTAAGGTGGTTTATGGTGAAAGGTGAAGATTACAAAGCCTAACTGGAGAACCTGGAAAGAGAGACCAAGGCTTTATGGAAAGGCCAAGGCCTCCTGAGGCTGGAGCCACTAAGGACAGAACCCTGATGTGAGCCCAACCACTCTCCCATTGTGTTCAGTTACAGCTGAGCAGGAAAACCATCATTCACTAAAGGGGGTTGCCAGTGAAAGGGGGCAAGTGGTAGGACCTGCAAGCTGGTCATCAGATCCTCAAAGATCTGCCAGTATTTCACTCCTGAGGAATAGGTAGACTTAACACAGAAAACCCTCCACACCCACAACTGTCATACATCATTTCGTGGCTCATTTGGATTCATTCTCAATAGATGTTTGGGGCTTCAATTCAAACAAGTCTCATGAAGACACCTACCTTGGTCCACCCAGGAAACTGAATAAAGGTGTCCTGTGGCAAGTCTGGGATCCCACTGGGAATGGAGAAGTTCCCCACATAAAAGGCTGGAAGTGTCAAGTTAGATGAGCTCTGAGGCTCAGTTTCAGCGTGGCCACTGTTTCCATGGTCACCCCATCCACGCAGGTGGCTGCGCACTGCATCCTCAGTGTTCAGTGGGAAGATCAGCCAGTCTGTGAGGTTATGGTAGCCGAGGGTCATGTTAGAAATCAAACCCTGCAAAGGAGAGACAGAGCACAATGAGCTGGAGAAGGACAGGGCTTTGACTATCTCCTGCATCCCTGCCCTGAATTCCTGTGACTGAGACTCAAACTGTGCATATGTTTAAATAACACAGATTTGGCTTGAGGCTGAATTATACCTTCTTATATTGGTGACTGGGGAAGAGCTGCCTCCTCAAAGTAGAGTTGACTGTGATAATGTGAATGGAGTAAAGCCCATAGGAGAAAAGCCCGTGGGACCTTCATTTGCTGATGGGGCACAACTCAAAATGAAGAGAAACAGCTGTAAACATCCA